GCAACGTATACCCTTAATGGAAGCGAATTAGGGATAACAACACACGAAAAGGACTTGGGAATTGTTATAAACAACAAACTATGCAACAATGTGCAATGTCAATCAGCGGTGGCCAAGGCCAGTAAGGTATTGTCATGCATGAAAAAGGGCATTCATTCTCGGGACGAGAATATCATTTTGCCTCTTTATAAATCACTGGTGAGACCACATATTGAATATGTTGTGCAATTTTGGGCACCTGTTCTAAAGAAGGATATTATGGCACTAGAAAAAGTGCAGAGGCGGGCTACAAAATTAATAAAAGGAATGGAACATATCAGCTATAAAGAAAGGTTAACAAATTTAAACCTATTTAGTTTAGAAAAACGTCGCCTGAGAGGGGATATGATAACATTATACAAATATATTCGGGGCCAATACAAACCATTGTGTGGAAATCTATTCACAAACCGGACTTTACATAGGACACGAGGCCATGCGTTTAGACTGGAAGAAAGAAGATTTCGTCTAAAGCAAAGGAAAGGTTTTTTTACTGTAAGAACAATCAGGATGTGGAATTCTCTGCCTGAAGAAGTGGTTTTATCGGAGTCCATACAGATGTTCAAACATCTACTAGATGCATACTTGCAAAAACAGAATATTCAAGGATATAATCTTTCAATATAGGGTAATAACTACTTGATCCAAGGATAAATCTGACTGCCATTCTGGGGTCAAGAAGGAATTTTTTTCCTAGCTTGTTGCAAAATTGTGCTTCAAACTGGGTTTTTTTACCTTCTTTTGGATCAACAGCAAAAAACAAATGTGAGGAAGGCTGAACTTGATGGACGCAAGTCTCTTTTTAGCTATGTAGCTATGTAACTATGTAACTATATCAATACACAAGAAACACACAGAATATAAAGCACTATTGGAAAGCGAAGTTAGAACCACAACAGGGCTAAGTCATATGGGTGAATCAGCTTTTTGTAGTCTGGATCTTTAAATTTGAAGCCATGCTCCCAATAAGTTCTCATCCGGACGCTGAGGAGAAGCCTGGGACTGTGGAGAAGTTCCCTCTCCAGCTGCTGACAAGCCCCAGTGTGAGTAAACATGACAGTTTATGACTAAGTTACTAAGGGGACAGTGAGAACACTCTTAAAGTGGTCTGTACCTAATATTGGTACAGACCACAATCTTCTCTCAGTGAAGTGAAGAGGCACCGGGTTGTGTCGAGGAGCCTTTGGTTTTGCTGTTGGCTCAGGATGGTCCTGCTCAGAGCTGGAGCTCCATGCCGGGCTCTTGGCTTTCACCTTGGTCACCTAATGGATGACCACCTCTGAAATAGAGGAATGATTGATTTTACTCCCAATTGAATGCATACCATCCATACAGGAGAACATGTTACAGAGTAAATGCTAATTTTTATAGCAATTCAATTGACCAAACAATTTTTATCCAAACATTATAAAGTTGAGCCATGCTATGTGCCATGATCTAGCCAACTCTTCTTTCTGTGAAGTCTGACACATTTAGGGGAAAATGGAATACAGAGTCATAGAAACATAGAATGTGATGGCAGATAAGAACCATTCGGTCCATCTAGTCTGCCCAATTTTCTAAAAACTTTCATTAGTCCCTAGCCTTATCTTATAGTTAGGATAGCCTTATGCCTATCCCATGCATGCTTAAACTCCTTTACTGTGTTAACCTCTACCACTTCAGCTGGAAGGCTATTCCATGCATCCACTACCCTCTCAGTAAAGTAATACTTCCTGATATTATTTTTAAACCTTTGTCCCTCTAATTTAAGACTATGTCCTCTTGTTGTGGTAGTTTTTCTTCTTTTAAATATAGTCTCCTCCTTTACTGTGTTGATTCCCTTTATATATTTAAATGTTTCTATCATATCCCCCCTGTCTCGTCTTTCCTCCAAGCTATACATGTTAAGATCCTTTAACCTTTCCTGGTGAAAGGTTTGTTAAAATACTGCATCAAATCTCAACATCACTGGTACAATCTACAGTCCAACAGAGATGTTAGTTGAGATAATAGGTGTACAATCTGTACCTCATGCCCAAAACAAATATTGACCTGTTTGAACTAAACAAATTTTTTATGTTGCTAAGATATCAGAACACAATGCACCTGGTTGACTGATTAAACTCGATTCTTAACAGAAGGAAACACATATGTCAACTTTTAGATAGACTTTAGGTTAGTAATTCTATTACTATCATTATTATATCAAATGATGGCATATGGAATATAGTTTATTTTTAGTCGTTATTATCATTATTTATTTTGAAAATGTATTGAAACATACAAAACAGTGTTAATTTTGTCGACTAACAATTTTCCTCAAATTTTAGTGGACTAAAATTTGTGAGATTTAGTCAACTAAAACTAAAACAATTCAGATGACTAAAATACGACTAAAACTAAATGGCCTTTTAGTCAAAAAACAATATGTCTAAAACAAAATTTAAATTTGACACCAAAATTAACACTGCACAGAGGGGCTGTGGAAGGTTCAAAAGAGACAAAGCATGGCTCGGGACAGGGACACCTAGCGAGGCTGGGAGGACACAAAGAGACACAAGGGGCTGGGGAAGAGGCAAAAGAGACAGAGGCTTGAACCAAAACCATTAGATGTTAGTTGTGTCGACTAAAATCTACTGGAGATTTAGTTGATTAAAATCTACTGGAGATTTAGTCGACCAAAATACGACTAAAGATAAAACTAAAACAATTCTGATGACTAAAATACGACTAAAACTAAAATGGCTTTTTAGTCAAAAGACAATGACTAAAACCGAATTTAAATTTCCAGCCAAAATTAACACTGATACAAAAGAGAGCATGATTATTACTTGAGAATAAAAAAATGAACATGCATTGGCATAACAATCCAAACTACACTAAAGTTAGGCAATAAAGGTAGAAGTTGTGTGTATGAGATGCTCATTTGATTGGTTGGCTCTTGTGAATGACATCATGAATATCTCACGTTACCAAAATGCAATAATTAAATTGTTATTGTGTTATCAGGTAATATTTAAATATTAATGCCTTTGCACACCATTAAAAGTGTAAAATAATGTCTTGTAGATACTCAATATTTTATTGAATGCAGATAAACAAGTTATGTACTATAGGTAAATCAACATTTAATTCCCAAATTGATAAAAAAAAGACATGGGTGAAACTGAAACCCGATTTGCTCACACAGCATGGTTATCTATAACATTGATTGTTTGTAGTAAATTACTTTACAATTCCATCACTGCCCTTCTTTATATGTTGGTTGTATGGAAAGCCAAAATGGTGCACAAGGTCATCCGCCACTGGGAGATGCAGAATGATGCTAGGTACTATATCTCGTAGCCTGCAGCTAAGTAAGGAACAGTACATACAGTGATGCTGCATGTGTTCCCTCCCTCCCCCCACGAAACATTCAAAAATAAACCCTTTCATGAATATCCAGATCTGTCTTAAAGATTACCGGTATATCTCTTTAAAAAATATAAAGCGTGAAACTTTAATCACTAAGGAAATAAAACAGCTTTCCAGAGACATTCATGTGTAAAGTAAATCCTAAATGTCTTTTAATGTAAAATGTTTCATATTTGAGAGCAACAGCTGAACCAATTTCAAGGTCAAAAAAACATGTTTTAAAGAGCTTTTCCTATGTTAAAATTCCAACAAATCCTTCGACTGCCAAAGTGATTAAAAAATAGAAACACAAAAAAAAAAACTATTGTGATTTGTGTACTGCTTTCTCTCATTATTTTACCAAAATTTTATTGAACCCCCTCCCCCCACCAAAAAAGAATAAAAAAAACTAACTTGCAGCATAAGTAATCTTGATATATCCTACACAGCCTTTTCCCACTTGACAGGTCATAACTCTTGAATAAGTGTTTTTACAGGGACATAGAAAACCTAACACAATTTGGGCGAACTACACATACTGTCCTTCAACCATTCCACACTCTTTAAAATCCTCATCATAATCTACAGAGCAAACTACACCAGCAGACCCAATACCTACAGGTCATGTGTGCATTTAGAATTCCCCACAGACAACGTTATTCATCAACCACCGCATAATTCAGGGTAAAGAGATTGAAGATTACTAGAGAAGGTAGATCACTGTCAATGAAGCTCGCATCACTACTTTTCCATAAACATTATCTCCCTACGGACCATCCTGCACTCCAAAAGAAATAGAAGGTTGTTGTGTAGGAAATGTTAGTTGGATACTTACATTTTTAGGTTTAAAAAAAATGCAATTTTTTGGGGATATCTATATTGTGCTTTATATTTTCTTTTTTGGGTTTAAGAAATACTAACTTTGGCTCCCAGCTGTAAAATATCTGACATTTATAACTCTTTTGCTAGGAGGGATTTTGTGTTCTGCTACTACTATCTGAAAATGACACAGGATGTGGCTAAATATTCATCCATATATTGAATCCCATAACCAATTAAACTTTTATTTTGGCCACCTTGATGAAGATTGGCCTCCTGGGGGGAAGAAAACGTGTGAAATATGTGGTCTTGTTGTGATAGAAGATCTCCACTTCCTAAAAATCCCAGTCACAGAGTTGGAACTAATTCTAGAAAAAATAAAGGAGCTCTCGTTCCATCAGGGCCTGCTCTGGTGGGACTACATGAGGCTATCCATTGTATCATGAAGAAGTGAATGTAGTAGAATATCTGCCTAAACCTGCTTGTTACCTCACATACACCTATGACACTATCTCATGGTACTATCCATATCATTTCCTATATCTGTAACTTCCACTCGTAAAATGTTGCATAAGCCTACCATCAGTAGGACAATAGTAAATCTTTTAAGTAAAAATCTTGAGCTTTAAGAGGTCAAGACCAATGGAAATACTTACATTGCCAATAGTGATGTCCCGAACAGTTCGCCACGGACGGCGAACATATGCGCTGTTCGGTCTGCCCCCTATGTCATCATTGAGTTAACTTTGACCCCTTTACCCCACAGTCAGCAGACACATTCCAGCCAATCAGCAGCAGACCCTCCCTCCTATACCCTCCCATCTCCTGGACAGCTCACTAAGAATGCAGCTTCACAATGAATGTAAAATGGATGCTGTCCAGGAGGTGAAAGGGTCTGGGAGGGAGGGTCTGCTGCTGATTGGCTGGAATGTGTCTGCTGACTGTGAGGTACAGGGTCAAAGTTTACTCAATGATGACATAGGGGGCGGACCGAACAGGGCATATGTTCGCCATACGTGGCGAACCGTTCGGCGAACTGTTCGGGACATCACTAATTGCCAACACCATCATGACTTGTCACCATTATTATGAGGAGAATGAATTCTTCTAACTTTGAGACACATGAGGCCCCTAAAGTACAAGTATGTATCTGGATACCAAAGAAGCATTGGACCCCAAATTAAAAATGATGTTCATAATTGAACATAAATAGTACCGCACTGTCAGAGCTGTCATTTATACCATTAAGACTATTCATTTCAAACTCTTGGCTGGAATAAGGATAGTCTTTGTCATATTATGGCAAAATGCCAATATGGACACATTGGTTTCATGATTCAACTGTGAAGAATAGGCTCTAGTCTTATGTCTGCACTGAAAAGCCTACAATTTCCTCAGTGGATACTTAATGAACACATAGTTTAGATCAAATTATAAAATTCTGACAGCTTTATCTAATCTCAGTAAATTAGTATTATCTAGGAAATTGATCATTTGCTTTAACGATCTTTTAACTTCATTAGTTATCATAATCTCCCTAAACAAAGTTTATCATCTCTATAACAACGTATAGATAATATAATTGTCTCAATGACCAGCAAATGACTCACCTAGAAACCCCGGAAATTGAAATTGAGTGGGTCGGTAGTTTCTCTATGGAAAAACATGTAAAGATGACATTCATGGTTAGTCAAGACTGTACATAAGTTTATTTCTACTTAGGGAAAATCAGATGACCAATAAACCAACCTTTTTTTCTGAAGAAAAATGGCATAGCACATCATCAGTATACCTAAATGTTCCATGTTTTCTTCTCTACCTTATAGCATCCATCATTAAAATGTAGGGGTGGTCCTCTGAGTCCACCAAATCAGATCTTGTACGGATGTGTCAATAGAAGTAATGATGAAATGTAACAGATATATTTATTAGTAATTTAATTAATATACAACATGAGGCATAAAGAAAGACAAAGCAAAAATAATCTTAATGATAAATAACTTTATGTGTAAGTGACAGTTTTGCTTTAACTCTCCCTTTGTCTACCAGGATGCACAATTTATCATCTAATCGCCATTCTACTTTGTTTGAAAACCTGTCGTGAGGTGAACACATTTTCTTTATCTTAATGAAGCAATTTTGGAATTTAAATTAGTAGTATCAAATATACCCACATAAAGCAGTTCCGGGCTTTATCAGAAAACAGGTACTATACCACATCTGATTTATGTCCCAGGAGACATTCTATGTCAATCAACACTGCATGATTACTATTAAATTATATTCTAAAGATTGAGAGTGCATTGCCTGTGTAAAGAACCCTATACGTGATTATACTCTGACCTCCTAATACTGGACTATTCCAGGCACATCTCAAATCCATGTGGCCACATGCACCTGGGGGGTGGGGAGGGTTGACTCTTGGTGTATAGTAGATGCTTTGGTGAAAAACAGCTGCAATCATATTCTACTCCACCTTCTACATGGACCATTATCCTTCTGAGTATATTAGACATGTAAGTGTGGACAGCAGCATAGAATTAAAAAATATGTGTACAGAACAGAATCTGGAAGAATGGAATTAGTTCCTGTGTTTTAACCATTTTTATTGAAAAAAAAAAAAGAAATACATCTACAGTGTAAAGTTTAGTATAAATGTATCCCTACATGCCACATAGAGTTTGTTAGTACAATAATTCACAGTGGTGTATTTTGGATCTGTGCTACCCTGGGCATGACGGAACTTGTGCGCCCCCTAATTTAAATTACACCTCTACCTGTCAAAGAGTAACATGCACTTTGACTGACAGACACACACTCTCAGATACACTGACATATACACACACTCACTGATTTGACACAATCTGACTATCTGACACACAATAACTGACTCACTCAGAGACACACACTAACAGACACACACAATCACTGACAGACACGCACACACACTTAATGACATACAATGTCGCAGACACACACACACACACTCATTCACTGACAGACACACTCCCACCCACTCACAGACACACACACTGACAGGCATACACAATCACTCAGACACACACACATTCACTGACAGACACACACAATCACTCAGACACACAGGCTCGCTCAGACACACACCGACTGACAGACATACACACACACACACACACTCACACACTGACAGACAGACATACACTCACTCACAGACTCACACTGACAGACATACACACATTCACTGACAAATATACACACAGACTCACTGACAGGTACACACACTGACATACATACATGCACACACACACACACAAACATTTTCCCCCAACACTCACAGATTATTTATTTTAATTTAAATCCACCCAGCTCTACCAAAGGTAAGGAGGCTGGGTGGATTTAAATTAAAATAAATAATCTGTGAGTGTTGGGGGGAAATGTGTGTGTGTGTATGTCTGTCAGTGTGTGTGTGTGTCTGTCAGTGAGTCTGTGTATATATGTCAATGAATGTGTGTATGTCTGTCAGTGTGAGTCTGTCAGTGAGTGTATGTCTGTCTGTCAGTGTGTGAGTGTGTATGTGTATATCTGTCAGATTTTTTTACCTGTGGTCCAGTGGGGCTTCTGGCCGGGCTGTTTGGGCAGGCAGCCGTGCAGGCAGTCGGGCGGCTAGTTGAGGTCCAGGCAGGCGGCAAGGGAGCGCTGATTAGTGAGCTCTCCCTGCTCAGCTCTGCAGAGTGATGCCGGGAGCCGGAATGTGACGTCATATTCTGGCTCCCGGCATCACTCTGAGGCGCACGAGTGAGCTGAGTAGGGAGGGCTCACAAATCAGCGTTCGCTCGCTGCCGGCCTGGAGCTCACCTAGCCGCCTGCCACTAGGCTAGCAAGGCATTTGCCTGAACATTTGGGGATGATGTTTTTTGCCGTCCCTGGAAAGTGCTGCCCAAGGCAAATGCCTTGTTTGCCTTACAGGTTAACAATCAAAGAATAGAAATGAAGTTGTGGACTTTCCTAGCAAGAATACAATCCTTAAAGGAGAAACGTACTTGGAAACCCACAACAAAACCTGTGTGGACACTCCAGTAATGTCCTGGGGCTTAACCCCTATGAAATTCTATGAATAAAAAAAAAAAAAAGGCTTAAACGTTGGAAAAATAGAGTTCTCTGTGATACTTTCTGGATACATTTATTATTCAATATCATTTCTCTTACTACTGACTCTATTTTTGAGCATTATATATGTTTGAGATTTAATCAGTGCACTGATTGATTACTTTTGTCTGTTTCAACAGACACATTTATCCAGAATCAGGACTTTCTTTCTGCTACTGTTTCCAAAATATTAGGACCATATAATATAGACTGTGACCTATTGAGTTTTATTAAAGTCAAATAGTCGTGGTTATTTACTTATTACAGTAGACTTTGAGGGAGGCATAACCTTTTTTGGTTGTAAACATGATTTAGAGGTTCATGGCACATCATAACTTAGGTAGATATTTTGAAAAGGTATTTGAATGATTTTGACGATTACTTTCATTTATATCATTATTTCTCCAGTTTTAAGCTTATTTTGCTGGACTAGTTTTTCCAACGTTTAAGCTTTTTTTTTTTTTTTTTATTCATAACAATCAAAGAATTAGGAAAAGTAACAAAATACAAAAATCAGTCAAATGGTGCCCTGAAAGAGAAATTATATGTGAGAGATAAACTTTTTTTTTTTTTATTCTTTTTTTTTTAGGGTTATTCACTAGAGTGTGAATTCAACATTTAAGCAAAGTAAAAAAAAACTAAAAGTAAATTCTGGTTTCTGTTTGGTAATTTAGCCTGATACTTGAAATTCACTTTGGATCCCCTCAATATGCTCCCTTTAGTGAATGACCCTGTACATATTGCTAAATAATAGTCTTAGTCAATGAACTCAATCAGGGTAAAACCGTCAGATTGAAGATTTTATTGGAGCCAGTAGGATGTGATAAGGAAAAAAAGTATTGGCAGAGGAGGTGTATAGTCCTGTTTCTTAATTCTTTATAGAGATAACGCGATAAAAAGATGCTGACAAAATAATTACTAAGGTACCAAGTAGACTTTTGTATTTTGAAAAAATGTGGTTAATTCAGAAAAAAAATTTGGTTCGGACGGACTGAATTTCACTTTTGTGGCGTTTCAGTTTTGATTTCATCCAAATTGTACCTTTCGGTCGAAATAATGATTTAGAGGAACCAAAATGGCTTGAATATACCGTACTGCAAAATATTATGTATATATATTACAGTACACTAACATTTTCGTACCATTGGGTTCACAGATCAAGTGAAAAGAGGTGATCAATAGAGGGAAAAGGAGAAGCAGAAACACATCTACATGTATATATTATATATGTATTAAACATGTAAATATAGATTATTTAAAAACATTTTTATAGCTTATCTTTTTTTTCTAAAGTGTTAGGAATACAGATTTGTATTCCTGACACTATAGAATCCCTTTAAGCAGGGCCTTCTTTACCTCCTGGCCTCTCTCAGTAGTATTTTCTATGTAATTTACTTGTCAAATAGTCTTAATTGTAAAGCTGTGCAATGGATCATATTCCATTGTCTATGTGTAGCTTATCAAAGCTTTGATCTTTGGTCCAATTCCGCAGTAATTTGTAACAAGCATTCTGAGATTATACATACTGATATGCTGCTGGTAAAATATTTCACTTGTGTGGGGATATATAAAGTTAGTATGTACTGATTATAGATAAATTGGCTTGTTTTATGTTGATAACAAACTATTTAAATAGTTTAAATATTCATAAATACATATATATTTTATGAATAGAAACGCAATAATAGTGTATTTTGCACAATGTGATGTAACTGCAGGCTTATCGAACAGGAGTACTTCAGTAATGGTAGAGCAGCTAAGTGTGGGAGTCACTTTATAGAGATTCTAAGGAATAATGTGGTTTCTTTTTAAAAG